TCAAATATTGTAATTGGATCATCATCCTTATAATAGAAAGTTCCTAAATTACTACTCTTACAATTGAATGTTGACTTATTTTCATAAATTTCATAAAGATTCTTTTTAGGTTTAGTGTTCTTCCAAAACTTATCTGTTACATTTTGTCTGAATGTTTCTGAGCTCATACAAACTTTCATTAAAATGTCTAAAACTTCTATAAATATTAACTTGTTATCTTCAGATTCTGATGAGAAGTATTCCTGGTATTTTAAAAACCTCTTATTATTTAATTTAACACAAACATTCTCTATGAATATGTAAACTCGTTCTTTCCAATTTGATAAAGTCCAAGGAACGTTATCATTACTAAATCTAATTTCTTTATTAGTACTATACTCAGGGGTGTACTCATTAAACACTATTCCTATGTTGATATCCCAAAATTTAGCTTTTTCTAACATATCTCTTTCTAGATAACTTATTGCTATCTTGAATAGAACAACAATCATTTTTATGTCTAATTCATCAAAACCTCTTGACACTTCTTTAAGTGTAAAATTTTTCCAAAAAATACTTTCTTTATCATCAACTGTTTCTAAACTTATATTGATACCGTTATATTTAATCTTATTGAGTAAATCTGTAATATTGCAATTAATTTTTAAATGATCTTTAAACTGTTTAAAGAAATTATAAAGTTTGATTATTTTCCCCTGTTCTTCGGGCTCCCAACTATCTAATTTAAATTTCTTTAATCTACTCAAATCAAAATCCCTCATCTTATCTTCTTTAAAAAAGTTTGGTACCCGGTAACTTTGTGGTTTAGGTGTTTTTGGTATTTCAAATAAATTCGGATTATTAATTTTATCTATGATATTTTCTCTAAGAACTACCCCAAATGGTGTCTGTAGTGTAATTCTATCCAAAAATGTATAAATGTCATGAAATGTATAATTATTTACTCTCTGTAAATCACAGGCAGCTAATTTAAATTCTTCTACTGAATTTTCATCTGTTACTCTTTTAACTAAAACTTCATTCATTTTAGAATCATTTACTAACATTTTTGTTACTACATATTTATCACTTGATGTCCCGTTAACACTCTCTACTATTTCTCCTGTAAAGAATCTATCTTGTATATTGGTATGTATCATAACTGCCATTTCACTTAATGGTATTGACGGGTGGTTTAATATATACTTTACTATATATTTTCTAAATGGTATTGTCGGAACTTTGAACATTAATTTATTAATAAAATTTTTTTAAATTTATGATATCAAATAAAATTGTCTAAAAAGTTTGTTTCTTTTTATAAACAAAATTTAAATAAATTTACATTTATAAAGTTATTATTTTTAATTTCATTTAATAAAAACATTGTTAATTGGTTCTTAAAATAGAAACAAAGAATTTTTATTTGTTTATTTAAATTTAATTATAACTAAATAAAATTGGTTTAAATTTCCTTATTTATATATAGTTTTCTTAATTATATCATAGAAGTTTATTAGATTCTTTATTTACTT